AGTCCCTCATAATCCTCTAGTGAATCCTCTAGAGCATTTTGCTGTATTCAGACAGTAGACATTTTGCACGCTTGTATGAAAATCTTACTCCCTAATCAGGCAAATGAGAATTAAGTAATCATTCTATTACACTGAACAGGTTTTAGGGTATATAAAATCAAACAGTTTTATCAGCTATTAAGAGTGAGTAAAAAAAAAAAATAAGTGGTAGAAATAAAGCACTATTAGTCTGGTGCAGCTGAAACAAAAAACAGGGCTGTGTAGAACTTTAAAGACTAACAAGATGGTTTAATAGGTGATGAGCTTTTGTGGGCCAGACCCACTTCCTCAGATCAAATAGTGGAAGAAAATTGTCACAACCATATATACCAAAGGATACAATTTAAAAAAATTAACACATATGAAAAGGACAAATCAAATTTCAGAACAGAAGGGGGGGGGGGAAGGAGGAGAATGTCTGAGAGCTAATGATATTAGAGGTGATAATAGGGGAAGCTATCTTTGTAATGGTGTAAGGTAATTAGATTCTTTATTCAGACCTAGGTGTAAAGTGTCGAATTTAAGCATGAATAACAGTTCAGAGGATTCTCTTTCAAGTGTGGTCTTAAAAGGCTTTTGAAGCAGGATGCAGGTAATTAAGTCGTTGAGACAATGTCCTTTCTGGGTCTTTGAAGCAGGATGCAAGTAATCAAGTCGTTGAGACAATGTCCTTTCTGGTTGAAATGTCAAGAAACTGTTTTTTCTTTGTGATCCTGTCTAATGTCTGTTTTGTGGGCATTGATCCTTTGGCGAAGTGTCTGAGACGTTTGTCCAATGTACATAGCGGACGGACACTTGCAGCACAGGATAGCATAAATTATATTTCTGAATGAGCAGGAATATGTGTTCTTGGTCTTATAACTCACTTGGTTGGGTCCAATAATGGTATCAGCAGAGTGAATGTGTGGACAAAGCCGGCAATGGGGTTTGTTGCAAGAGAAGGTACCAGGGTTGGTGTTAGTGTGGTATGTCCTGTGGTTGTTGGTAAGAATCATCTTGAGGTTAGGTGGTTGTCTATAGGAGACTATGGGTCTGTCTCCCAGAGCCTTTCGGAGTTTAGTATCCTGTTCCAGTATAGGCTGTAGTTTATTGATAATGTGTTGGACAGGTTTAAGTTGAGGGCTGTAGGTGATGACAAATTAGTGGAGTTTCTGCAATTTAGCAATATGGTTATAACATTTCAGAAGAAAAATAAGTAGGCCTGTCAATTGACCTGTGTTAACACCTGTGATTAACACAGGACCGAGTTAACACATTAATCGCAGGCATTAATGGTGCGCTACCCTTTTGAAGTGCCGCTCTGGCACTTCAAAGGGGCAGCTCGAGTAAAGCTGGGGATCAGCAGGAGGGCCTTTGAAGTGCCAATTAGGTGCTTTATGGGGGTTTTGCAACACGGAGCCAGAGATAAGCTGGAGTTCCAGCTTATCCCAGGTGCCTAATGCACTGCCTCTTTAAAGCGCCAAAACGGCACTTCAAAGGGGAAGCACAAGCAGAGCCAGGGATCAGCTGGGGACTCCGGAGCCAGGGATCAGCTGGAGCAGCACTTCAAAGGGGCTTTGAAACGTGGAGCCAAGGCAGCTCTTCAAAAGGGCTTTGCAACATGGAGCTGGGGATCAGCTGGGCACTCCAACTGATCCCTGGCTCCTCTTGCACTGCCCCTTTGAAGTACAGTTTTGGTACTTTAAAGGGGGAGTGCATTAGGAGCCTGCGATCAGCTGGGACGCGGCACTTCAAAGGGGCTTTGCAATGTAGAGCCGGGGATCAGCTGGAGTCCCCAGCTGATCCCAGGCTCCTAATGTGCTGCCCCTTTGAAGTGCTGCAGCATTTCAAAGCGGCAGTGCATGCCATTAATTGCACGATTAATCGCAATTCATTTTTTAAATCACTTGACAGCCCTAAAAATAAGGGAGATAGTAAACTTTTTTTTTTTTTTTTTTTTACCAAGTCATGATTTGTGTGTGTGTGTAGGCAAAAGTGGGGGGGGAGAGGTTAACCACATCACCTGATTGTTCTGCTGTAGGAAATGACTGCACTTGATTTGGAAAAGCTGCAAACAGTAAGTGCTAAAAATGGAATTAAAATGGGATCCTGGCTCTCAAAATGCAACACGTTGACAAATGGGTCTTTTCCAGGTTTGAGGAGAAACACTGATTTCCATTTAGACAGAGCCTCAAAGTAATGTCTCTGAAATCCTTTGGCCCCCCCTTCCCCAGAGGCCCATCAGAATTTGGTGCCATGCAGTATTAATTCTGGTTCAGGATTCAGTCTTGGGTCTCCTCTCAGTAAAGTGCAGGTTTGTGCACGTACATACGCCTGTTTATGTATTTAGGCCAAGATCCTCAAATGCTAATTGTAATCAATGGGTGTCAGGAGCCTAAATACCTTTAGGAATCCGGGAACTAACACCTGTGTGTGCAAGTTTCATAGACCAAAGGTACAGCTAGCCGTTATGTTTGAGCATGTCGGGGGGGGGGGGGATTTAAAAAAGAGACCCACAGTTGGTGTCTAAATTAAGAAGAAATCACTTTAATTACTCCCTTTTTATCTGCATTACAGTGCCTTCCTGACAAATGCTGTATAGCCATGTTCCCTGTAAACTGTGCCCTTGAGTGGCCCCTCAGGAGAGATTCACATGCTACCCAATAGATTAGCTGTTTGTAATGGTGTTGCACATTAGCACATGTTCTGGTGCACATGAAATGTATTCTGCACATGAATGGAGAAGATTAGAGGGCACATTGCTGTACAAACATATTAAGGAGCACTCTTCGCTTCTTACAGTATAAATAGTAAAGGCAGGGAAAAGACAAGAGAAAATGTACACTATTATTTCCACTTAACCGATGAGGAACTGAGGCACAAAGAGATTGCCATTGATCTAAGGCCTGAAGGGACCACCAGATAATCTAGTCTAGCCTCCTGTATATCACTGACCACTAACACACACTCACCCCAACAGGCAAAACTGGACCAAAAGGTAACAGCCCACTGTATTAGTATGTGCCAAAGGCAGAGAACGGGAGCTGGTAAGTAACTTATCAAAGAGACTGATTAGGTGGAATTGGTCAAGCTGATCAGCTGGTATCCACCCAGATCTTTAAAGGTTCTGAACCCGCATAGCTTACTGAAAGAAATGTAAATCTATATCATTTTCTAAATTTTATTAAACACATCAATTAAGAAAAGCTATCACCAGGGCAGAGTGAGTATTAATGATATTAAACTAAACTAAAAATAATTTTACAACAAGCACATCAACAAGTTACTCTGAAGAATGGATGGTAATTGAATCAAATTATTTAATAATTCAGATAGTACTAAAAATAATCAACACTTATAAATGTTAAGAAATTTCTAAGGAGGCAGCTGTTTATTTACTTATATAGGCCAACCAAAGAATTTTAGCAAAGTCCATCAAATTAGGATTTAAAGCTAGTCAAGAGCTTAATATTGAAAACATAACTGTGGTGTATCTCCGCAAACATAGCTGTGGTTTGTCTAATTATAAAACACCCTTCTTAGAATTTAATTTTTGTGCAAGAGTTAAGCCTTTTCTTTCCTCCAATAGATATATTAAAATACAGACTTTACCAAGATAAACTTAAAAAAAACAACCAATAGACTAATAGCACTTTAAAGACTAACAAAACATGTAGATGGTATCTTTAAGGTGCAACTAAACCATTCATTGTTTTTAAAGTTTTTCTAGTTACTGACTAACTCGGCTAGACTTTACCCCTGAGACTTTACCAAAACACTGTTGATACATGGAAGTTTGATGATGCTTATTTACCTGAAATTACAGATGATCATTTCAATTCTTTCAGGACTTTTAAATATAAAACAGATCATTTTTAGTTTTTAGAAATCAGTCTCCTGGCAGGGAATAATAATGACATCAGAGGTAAGATACCCTGTTAACTGTTTTTAAGAAAACATGGCCACCAAGGTTTGACTGTTTTACAATTGAAACATTTGATTTCACTGTTCCTAAATCTCTTGCTCTTTAACCAAAAGTTTTGAAGGCTTGTGAGCAGCAAAGCTTTTTTTTAAAAAACATTGTTAAAAATAAGCAGAACCAACACGGCCGCCATTAAATACTAAAGGTTAGTTACCAATAAACTGCAGTAAATAAATTAATGGGGAGACTGGAATTTCCCATGCTTACAAACATCAAGGCACTCTGCTGTCAGACAGTTTTTCATGTCTAGAAGCAAGCCAAACATTACCAAAAAAGGAAAACCAGGGAGAATGGTGGTATTAGGGGGAGAGGTCTCTCATGCAGCTGTGAGCATTGTCTATTTTATTTATTAAAAACCTAGATGGAATGGAACAACAAAAAGAGAGAAAAGTCTGAACAGAAACTCAGAAAGCAGGTCTTAACTTACTCATTAATAAAGGTAACACTTGACAGAAACTGAAACAGGTCATTAAATCAAATTCTAGCTATCAAAATATTATTATAATAAGAACATACATAAACTGGCCTTTGTGTATTGCCACGGCACACACTTGTTAAGATGATTAGTTCTGACCTTGATCACACTCCAGTAGAAGCAAATGAGAGGAAATGATAGGAGAGTTACATGAGAACAAAAATGCTTCTGTTATAGAGCAAGCAAAATACAAAACCTAATGAGGTTAGAAAAACAATCTTAGCTTTAGAAAAAATCATAAATGAAGGTAAAAAACTTAAAACAGAAGGTAAATGATTAAAAAGTATAGTCACATAAATAACTATCTATAAAAATAACAAGGTAAGTAAAAGGATGAGCTAAATAAATATTTGGGTTAAACAAGTTAAAGACAGTCTAAGAGCTGCTGCCTTCTGTGATTCAGGGCTTCCGTATGTGTATTTGCAAAGTCTAGGAAGGAGGCCAAGCTAGCTCAGTTGTGTTATTTAATTTGGCCATTTATCCAACTAAGCAACTAATTATTTTCTTCTGTTGTTATTTTTCTAGAACTCAGGCTGAATCTGCTGTGTGAATCTGAAGCTATTCACTGAAGTCAGTGGAGTAACTCTGTATTTGCACTGATGTAACTGACATCAGAATCTGATCATTAGCTACGGCCTGCAAAATATTTATCATTGTGGGACTAGACTGTGTACCTGATTCCACAATCTAATTCACAATAATTTAGAGGTGCTAAACTAGTTAGGAGCAGTTGGAACAGAATAAAAGAGGGAGCCTCTGTTGATGGCTATCATAACAAGTAAACAGTATATGGTGACAAGGCATAGTAACATCAGAATCTGATCATTAGCTACGGCCTGCAAAATATTTATCATTGTGGGACTAGACTGTGTACCTGATTCCACAATCTAATTCACAATAATTTAGAGGTGCTAAACTAGTTAGGAGCAGTTGGAACAGAATAAAAGAGGGAGCCTCTGTTGATGGCTATCATAACAAGTAAACAGTATATGGTGACAAGGCATAGTAA